TTTACTTCATTCAAACGCTCTGCCATTACTATTGTACGCAACCATCCTTGATCCTTGTTTCACTGCCATTACTGTTACTGTTATTACCATCATCATTATTATTATTATTGTTATTACACACTCGTACTCGTTTACTCGCTATTATTACATTTTCTATAACAGAGGATCCATCCCGTTTACACAACAAATAAGTTGAATTAAAAAATTGAATTGCTCGGTCGATGTTCGAATTCCGTTTCTCAAGTAAAAATGTCCACTTATTTTTCATTTCTTTAATTTATTTATTTAACGCCGCTTCGGCTTAATATCTATTAGCGACCACTTTTGGGATTACAATTATTTTAGGGTTACATGTGGATGTAATATTTAGAACAGTTTCTACGTTAAGTTATCTGTATTAAACACTATGGCTTCAAGGTTATTGTGTTAATCTACGTTCCTTAAGTCACTAGATAATTTCGTTAAGCAATTTGGCGTCTTCTAAGTAGGACATAACTTTTCCAGCACGTTCATAGTTGTCCGAAGATTCTTCGATGGTTTCGGGCATTTTTACATTTTTCTTGATATTGTTGCACGATTCTATAACTAACTTTAGTTTTAATGAATAGAACATGTTAAATCGTTTTATCAAAAAATCAGCGGAATGACCGAAAGGCACAGCAATTGGCCACCTGGCAACAACCAGCTCCGCTACCCCAAATCGATTTCACCTAATCCTCGGCAGGTGTTTTCAACTGTTGTTTCAAGCACGGACAGCGAATCGTGTGCTGCCCGGTGAAACTCATCTTTCGAACCAGTTCCCGAACCGTCTCCACGATAGCTCGGCCGACACAACCTACCCGCGCAACGATCGCAAAAACTCGCGTCTCAATTTCGCATAACTCACCCTCAATTCCCTCGCGCGCAAGAAGAACGCAAGAATCCCCTAACGGAAAGCCGTCTTCCCACAGGAGAGATCCGGCATACCTTGGCTAATTTGTCCCGGTAAAATACCAATTAGGAAGAGAAGTCCTGGCTTCCGCGAACAACAAGAAAACCGCTGTCTCATCATTCTTATCGATCCCCGGCATCGATCAATACGCAACGCGCGCGCGCGCGCGTGCTGATCGCTGACAAGGCCCGGGTACCTAATCTTTCTTCGATTCCCCAAAGGATCACGGGCCGCGGAATGCAACGGGGTTTTCCGGTGATCCTTCGGAAACAAAAATCGGTGTCGTTCACCCCGAGCGACGACGCGGCAAAACGAGGAGCAGCTCTTCTCTTTTCTGGACCGCGAGCCGGGGAACAGTCGTCCGCAGGGAATGGAAGTTCGGGACAATAAACAGTAATGGCGGATACGTGCTCGGGGATTTACTTCTGGATGACTCTGCCCTCCCCGCTTCCCTCCTCTCTTCTTCTTTCTTCTCCTGTTGTTGAGGCCTCCGGAGCCCGTTCCTTCTGGTCCGCGGCCTCCGCAGAGTCCCGGGCCCAGCGGCCTGTCCACGAACGTCGTCGGAACCCGTTCTTTCTCTCCATTGAATTCAATGGTTACCCTCGTCGTCTTATTTATTGGATGCGTTCCTTCGCTCCGGCGCGGCGCGGCGGCGAGCTACAACCGCGACTCGCAACTCGCAACTCGCAACGGCACTGCAACCGTTGCAACCGTTGCACTCGATGTCCACCGCGATGCGGCACTGGCTAAAACGAGGCCTGCGACGCGACGCCGAGACGCTGCCTGGCGGTTACGTGCGCGGAAATTCGTTTGAATCCGCATCGTTTTTCCGATCGCAACTATGGAGCGACGCGGCGATCGGTTTTTTTGCGTTAATCTACGGTGATTGGGAGCGTTGGATTAGGTCCATTCGGTTTGGGAGAGTTGTAGCGTTTGTCGGGTGCTGTGTGTTGAGATTTTCTGAAACCCTTTTTCTGAAACCGCTTAAATCGATTACTCGTCGATAGACTGCGGATTTTATGCATTTATGACAGAAGTATGTAGTTGAAATATGAAATTGTGGAGGCGTAAGGAGAATTTAATAATACAGTTACACTATTTTCAGTTTATTCGAACGACGCGAAGCAACAATTTATCTTTATTTGATTTCGGTTTCTCGCAATCGTTTTGGAAAGTTTTTATTTTACGTTTACATACGAAATGAATTGAATTAAAACATTGAATGACATCGTGCCCAGACTCGTTGCGAGGACTCTAGTCTTCTATCAATCCTGGCAAAAAGTGTTCGAACACCTTTTTAAACGCGATAACTTTCGTACGTTATTTAACAAAAATCAGAATTAAGGGAAAGCTTCCTTCGTCAACGAAAAAATTTACTAGTCATAAAAGGAAAATAAAAATGCTATCAGACCTTGTCAATTTCTCCTTTCTTGTCAAATTTTCTTCCATTTTAACAATCACACAGGCTATAAGTGCACAAAAATCTGTAGTCCAGAAATTAATTTTTTCTAAAACTGAACTAAACGACTTGAATTTGTTCTTAATGTTAAAGGGACTAGTTTACTATAAACTGGCCAAATTACCTTCTTTTTAATTTTGCTATAACTTAGAATGACAAAGAAAAATAATAAAAAATGAGAGTTTTTTAATTTTCTGTTAATAGAAAAAACTGTGAGCTTCGCCGTTTGTTGTCAGCTATTAAAATTGTTGTTTGGATACGGGCGTTGTCTTGCAGTTTCATGTTTTAGGAATGCAATTTTCTCGTCGCTGCACGGCAATTCGTTGCACCGGCGAGCCTGCGAGGTTCGAAATGGAGCGGGCTCTCGTGGACTTTGCAATAGTACCTGAAACTTTGAACGCGTTTTTATGGAAACTATGGTTTTCGGATTGCTTGATATCTCGAAAACCAATCGGCCGGTCCACTCGAAACTTCGCAGACTTTTTCAACAGACGTTCTACTTCCGTCTGACCTAGGTCGGAGTGGATACTTGTGCAATTAGATCGAGACCGGGAAATCAGCGAATTTCATGGAGAACTGGAACTCCGCGCGTTTCAGACGATTTCATTTCTTCTCGTTGATTGTTCTCGACGCGAAAGATCTGTTATTTCGACACGTTAACATACTACGCGCGGGCGAGGCATTGATACCATTTCAAAAAATTTAATTTTTACAAATTTCGTTATATATTTTAAAGAATCCCCCCGTAAAATTCTAAAAATCCTCGTTACAAACTTGTTATCAAAATTTTGTTTCCAATATTGCAAATATTGCTTTAAAAAAAGCGGATTTTCTTAAAATTCTCTGATTTTCCCTCGTTTTTTATTTAACTTTGACGTTTTTATTTGATTTCCTTTATTTTTTATTTTTATATAGTGTGTTAAAATGGGAATTTACGATTTCTCGTGGATGGAAGAAGTATAAAAAGCGACGACGAACGCCGGCAGCCATGAACGTCCGAGCCGAACGCATAACCGATGAATGAACGAATCGAGAAACACAGTTCCGCGGGGAAATTTAATCTGCCGGCATCATCATTATCATCGACGGGCTTGTTAAAAGAGGTTACTCTCGTGCGCGTATATGGCGGCCATACGGCGCTGGCTTTCGCGTACCTATTACAAAGATATCTTAATCTGATCGGCCGCGGCCGGGAGGACGCGCGAAAGGAGCCCGGTCGTGTCTGTAAAAAGACGAGACAGCAGACAGAAAAAAAGCCAGGCGTCGATCGAACGATACACACCAGGCTCGATCGTAAATGAGAGGATTCCTAACAACGATCGTTCCTGAACGCTTGTGATCCATCAATCGATACCAACGCCGACTATCTAGCCATCGTCGCATCGACCGATTTGCCTATCCGCTTGGCAGAAATTCGGCGGGAACGCTGTAGCAAAGAATTTCAGTCCATTTAAACAATACTTATTTTATTGTACTAATTAATTCTAGCAAAACGAGGTTTACTCTGTTTCAACATTTTATTCCAACAACCAAGCGTTCACGATCGCAGCAAATACGTTCATTTTGTTGTATTCATCGGGCTGATTATTCGACGTGATAATAATATGAATACTAGTGGGACGGTTTCTTGTTATTTTTGAAAAATGCTGCGATTGCGGTAATAGAAGCAATAAAGCGGTCGTCGGTACTCGTTGTAAGTAGAAACAGACAGTAACAGACAGACACGCTAGACAAGAATTACAATCAGTACTTCGTATTGGTTCATAAATTTCAGCTGATTTCGAAATCTATCAAAAGCAAAGGAATATCATAAATATTATGAACATCGTTGTTATTTATTTAACGTCTCTCCTCGAGGAATAATTTCTTTCTTGTATAAATTTGGTATGATCGAAAAAATCCGTCATTTCATTCGTCAGATAAAAAAGTGTTTATCCTTTATTCCAAGTAATAGCAAAATTAAAAAGAAAGAAGGTATTTTAATCATCGTACAGTGAACTAGTCCCTCTGACATTTACAAAAAAAATTCAAGTCTTTTAAACCAGTTTTAAAAAAGTTGTACCGTTTCAAAAAACGTCTAGAGGAATATCGTAAGGAATATCATAAATATTATGAACACCGTTATTATTTATTTAACGCCTCTCCTCGAGGAATAATTTCTTTCTTGTATAAATTTGGTAAGATCGAAGAAATCCGTCATTTCATTCGCCAGATAAAAAAGTGAAAGAACGAGAGTTTTTTAACACTTCTTTTATTCCAAGTAATAGCAAAATTAAAAAGAAAAAAGGTGTTTTAATCACCGTACTGTGAACTAGTCCCTCTGACATTCAAGTCGTTTAGACCAGTTTTTGTTGCACCGTTTCAAAAAGCGTCTTGACACTTTTGCTCCTTACTGTACACGAGAGCTTTGGAACCATAGGTTTGTTTAACGAAAGAAATCCGCGAACATCCCCGAGAAATGTACTCCTAAAGCTGAAGTTCTATTTTTCAGGCGGGAACGAGCGTGTCTCGAAAGCAAATAAAAAAAGAAACAGTGAATTGTTGTAACAACCGTAACCGAAACGCGAACGGGGACGAGGGTATTGAATAATGGAGGACATTTTGTTGTAGAGCTTCTCCACCCTACCGAACTGTCTTCGTCCATGGAATCGTTGGCCGCGTACGACGCGTCTGTCGGCTCGCCCGGCCCCGTGCACCAGAGCCAACGAACGAAGCGCATGCGAACGAGCTTCAAGCATCATCAGTTGCGAACGATGAAGAATTATTTTGCTATAAATCAGAACCCCGACGCGAAGGACCTCAAGCAACTGGCGCAAAAGACCGGGCTTTCGAAGAGGGTGCTTCAGGTAGGGCATAAATTTCGTTTTCAATTTACGTACCGTTCCGGAATACGTAAATCGTAGCCGAGGCGACACCCAGCCGATACCCGAACCGGCTACCAAGAATAGTTCGTTTCCGTTGCGGCAATTAACATTTCGCATTGTTATTTCTCTGTTATACGACCGACGATCATCCTGCACGCGAAAGATCGATGTCGAAATTACAATTCCCGCATGAGAAATGCTTCTGCGAGTGCGCCGCCAGTCGTACAATTTGTTAACGCGCGTTTAATCATACCGTTTTCTAAAGGGAACTTTAAATCAACGCCGCGGGCGCGCGCGAAACTTTCTTCTGAGATCGATCGCAGGGAATTTGCTTTTTTTCTGAACTGGTCACTGAATCATTTATTTGACACGTTGTATTTTTATCCGCTTCTCGGACTGTTCAACGCTTTCGAGAAATCGTGCCGAGATGATTCAATTTGCGCGCAAATTCTTCTAAATCTGAACTCATTTCGACGTCTACTGGATTTCCGAGGTCTCCAAGATTTCCGAGATTTCTGAGATTATGGTCCCAGAGGCTGAGGTAGCCGGCCCGGCCCCGAAAATAGTGGAAACATCGGGCGCGATCGTTTCTGATCGGGTTCGTTTCGCTGGTTCTGGTTGGCTTAGGTCTGGTTCCAAAACGCCCGGGCGAAATGGCGACGGAACATGATGAGGCAGGAGGGCAACACGGCGGCGAGCAACGTAGGGTGTCCCGGGACCCCGGTGCCCTCGAACACGGGCGGTTCGCCGAACGTGGGACCGGCAGCCAGCATCCTAGGGGACAGCAACAGCATGCCGTCGACCTCGATGGAGGAGCTGCACGCTCTTCATCACCTACATTCCGGCGTTTCCTCCCAGGTCTCGTTCTCGGATCTTTACTGACGACGGCTTGAGATGGAGGAAGACAGCTACAGCAGCCTTTCCAGCCATCTTGGATGAAGGATCGCCCTAGCGACTCCGAGCGTTTCTTCTTTATTCTTTCTCCTTTCCCCTCTCCCTATTCTTCTTCTTCTTCTTCTTCCTCTACTTCTTATTCCTCCTCTTTCTCCTCTTCGTCCTCTTCTTCTTCTTCTTCTTCTTCTTCTCCCTCTTCTACTTCTTCTTCGGGGTCGACTTTCGATCGCCACTTTCAGGGGGGAAACGGACTCTCGCAACCGCGACCCACTTGCTTTTCTTTCCGATTTTATATGTACTCCGGAGGTTCACGGAAACGAACTGGACTCTGATCTCGAGACGCTTTCGGAGAGGACGACGCACAGTGTTCCTTCGATTTTACACGGGGATTCCCTCCCGGACAGGTGAACCTTTACCGCGGGACATGCTGGCTTCCTGGTGAGTAGAGACGGTTCGAAGGATCACTATATAACCCTCGTACGATCTTCGGGAACACAGGATTCCAGGATGACGCTTCATCCGGCTTTACTTTGCAGTTAGATTCAGCAAATCGCGTTTCATTCGCGCAACTATTCCTGCGTGTCTGGACGCTTTCGGGTCGATCATATATTGATAAAGAAGCAGCAGATTAATTGTTGCGTGTTTGTCTGTATATCAAAGAAATTTTGCTCGAAAGATTTTTCTATACAACATGCACATGGTTTACGAGAGAAATTTAGGTGAAAGAGATAAATGACTCAGTTTGTACTAGATTGGTTAGAATTTTACTTATGCTTTATTGGTCATTGATCGGAAATGTACAGGGTGTCTAGAAAGATTGGGAAGAAACTTATGTTATGTGTGTAACTTATGCTCAGAGGCTGAATAGATGAAATAAATATAAAACGCATAAACTTATGTCCGAAAATGCTTTATTGTAAAGATATTTAGCATTTAATGATATTTATGATTTATTGTGTCGGTTATAAGTGGACTACTGATTTTATGAATTAAAAAAAAAATCAATTGATCAAATATGAAACAATGATAACATCTCTAAAGAATTTAAAAATACCGTTGAATGAGTTTTAAGTTATTAAAATAATTATGGAACTAAATAAAATCTGTGTAGCTTCAGTATCTTGTAGTTAGTGCAGATTATTTTTATTTTGCATAAAAATCCGCAGTTTGGTTTTACGAAATGTTCAAAAATTGCTCCCACTGCAAGAATGCGGGCTTTCCATTCGTCGAATTGGCAATTGCTAAATTCTGTCAAATATTCCATCTGTATTGAAAATAATGGTAAATTCATTGTGAGAACATTCCCAAAATTATTAATCTTCTATTCCTTTCGTATTTTCATAAATCAACGATCACATAAATTTTGAACGGTCATATCCTTTGAATAAAACATTTCCATGAACATTTTTCATCCGTTCGACTTCACGATCGGTAACACGTAGTATAAGTTTGGTCGCGATCGTTTTGGACACCCAGTGTACACAAGAAAATGTCTATGTCAAGATTCAGGCGACTTTATGAATCGATCGATGAATGCGCTAGGTGGCCAGACACTCGAGGACAGAAATTTGCTGGTTCACTTATTGCACGCTGTAAACGAGCGAACGATAACGAATTGCAAGCCAGGTGAATTCTCGCCGCGAGGAAAGTAAGAGGGTTAAAAACCGAAGTCTCAGAAGTCGCCGGACGTTTGGTCGACGGTTACGTTTCAACTACAGATTTCCCGGTGTCGGGTTTCCTGGACGTCAATCACGCGGAACAGGAACAAATGACTATTCATCGATCACGGGAATGATTTCGCATAACAAACAGCCCCGTGGCACGGCCGGTCAATCAGTCGATTGGCGAGCGAGCGTGTATCGAGCGGTGATCCTTCGGATCCTCGGTTTCAGGACTCACCAGGCGGACTCGAGGGTTCGCGAGGCCCGGTCGGCAATGATCGACGGGATTCGAGACCGATGGATTATGTTTAAGTAATCAGTGATAATAATCATAGTTCCATGCACATCCGAATTACCAAAGGTACTAGGCGATAGTTTATCTCGCTAGCGCGAGCTGGGTATTTGTGCGGAAAACAAGAGCCACCATTAGGGACTCCTCGGAGAGGGGACTCGCTGCGCTTTCGTATCAGTTGATTGGATTGCGGATCTTTACGCGAAATCGCCTGCGATCGGCAGTCGATCGTTGGATCGTTCGGAGAGCTGTTTCGTTCTTTCGCGAGAAAACGGAAGACGATCTTTTTTAACGATCACAGTAAGAAAAGAAGTAACACTTGTCACATTCTTCTGGCAGCGTTGAGATCTGCTTTGAGTTCAGTGCTTTTTTAACACCGTTGCGAAGTGCAATTTTTTTTTGAGAAATGAAATAACTGTCCGAACTATTTAATAGACTATAGAATATTTCTTTCCTGTTTCAATCATTTATTCGTCCGAATTCTTTCTTGATCTTACTATTGTTTGGAATCGCATCCGGTCCCTTTTGTTCCGAATGCATAAAATCCGCAGTCTAATTATGAAATTGCGCGGCATTCCTCGGCTCGCGAAGTTGCTGGACCGTTTCGCGCGAGTCTGCCTGTTTTTTCTCCCCCTAAAGAACAACTTTCCCGAAAGATTGCGAATAATCGGAAAACATGATTTTATACCATTTTATGAACGTCGGCGTTGATTCTTTGATTAGAACTATAGTGCTACGATGTTTCGTTTGTTTACCTGGAAATGTAAATAAATCAGAGACACGAGATCATGGGATTTTCTATGAAACGGAGAGATGCATCTATACATATATGCATATAAGCATAGAATGCATGAACAGATTAAAAAAAATAATTTTATTATTCAACACGGGAATATTTATTATTCGCGCGATACCTAGAAATATCTACTAAATACCTAGAAATAAAATAGGCGGAGTTTGCCTAGGTGTGTGTGTGTGTGTGTGTGTGTGTGTGCGTGCGCGCGATTGCAATTAATTCGATTAGAATCGCGCCAATCGGCCTCGACTTCGCGAGCTGCTTCTCTTCCTTTTTAGCCGAACCGATGTAATAGAGACTTTTTGATATCGAACGATCATTCACGGCTAGAATCGCGAATGAACAGGTGACGTGTCTTAAAACGGCGTTCCTCTCCTCGTGCCAAAACGTAGCTAAGATACGAGTTTTTTCTACGGTGCCGCGCGAATCCAAAGTGACCACGGACATACAAATTCCGGTGTTGAATTTGTTGTAGAATCATTCGTCGCCCGCTAATCGAACCGCAGGAAAACGAGAAAGTCGTTTGACGTCGTCGGTTCTTTTTGGAAATGATGATTTTCTCTGTGTCGGGGAAAAAGAAAACGTCTGACAGGCATGGAACGTCAAACCATGAAATTTGTAAATTGCCACTTTGTAAATTGTCTACGTGAAATTGTAAAGTCATTGTGTATTAACGAACCTTCAATATCCGAAGTATATTTTTAATTGAAACGGTGAACCGTGTATAATGCATCGAACGGACTGCATACATAGTTACGTCTGTTCTGTTAAAAATGTTAATAGTTTATAGACAGGCGGTAGAACTGATTGATTTCCGGTTGATCGAGCATGGTCCACGATCTTTGGATTCGATCGGCACGAAATCACACTCATTCGACCACAGACGACACGGTATGTACATTAGTGAGAACGAAAATTAGCGGAGAACACGAGCTCGCAGCATTTTTAGCAGATCCAGGCGACACGTAAGGTATAATTGCGAATACGGCTTCGGGACACGAAGTTTTTCAATCGCGGATCGACGCGTGGCGAAGTGTCGGACACCGAAATGCCATTTTTTCCTTTCTAATTAAGCGACTAATTGAAATTCTCGAGAACAAGAAGCGTACGCCGCGAAACGAGAATTCCTAATTGCGGAGCGAAAAAAGAAAACTATGACTATTAATTGGCCCGTGCGTTATGATCGCGCGAGACGGTTACACTTGCCGATCCAAGCCGGCCAAGATGGCCGCCGCTCCGGCGAATTTCAAATCCGTATAATTGATCGCGCAATGAAATTCCCGCGAACAGGATCTCGTCGATTGAGACGCGTTTCTTCTCTTCTCTTTCCCGTTTCTTTCGTCGAAATTGCTTTCGGCTAATTTTCACCAGATTTTCCGACACAGAGCCAGAGAGTCGGGGGTCATAGTTTGCATAGTTGGAGAAAATGGCAGCAGCAGTCGCATGTTAGGCATGTGTAGCATAGCGATGATATCATGTACGTCGGCGTCTTAAAGTGCGTGAACCAATTATGTAAAACTGTATAGATGAATTAATGTGCTGCAATCGAGTGCGACTAATTATCGTATAATAAATAGTTACGTACATCTGGACCTTTCGAAACGGCACTCTTCGTTTATCGTCCATTCGTTGCCATCCCTTCTGTTACAGGCTCCCAGCGTTCGGAAATCCTGCAACAACGTGCAACACTGTTACAAACATTTCCACTGAAAATTGGCTACACTTTCGCGTCGCTTTATCACGGCGAATTGAAACACTTTTGAATAGTACCTTCTCTTCACCAATATATTTAGTCATCTTTTTATTTACCGGTAGGATAATTATTTTATATATTAATTCTATTTAGTACATTACTATTATTCACAGTATATTTCTTTTATATTTAGTACATTATTCTCTACGGGACTTCGGAGAAAACCATTTCCAAATATTTCCGAACGTTTATATTTGTTTAGAAAAGTCATCTCCAAACGCAGTGTGCAACAAAAATGCCTGCACAGTACCGCATCATTCCCGAACATGGCGCAAACAATTTTATCAGCTCTGCTTCATCCAGTTTCCCTGAAATAAATTCCCAAAGAGCTGTTCTATTCGCCCGCGGTTACAAAAGTTACAGAATATTTCTCCCCGGAGATAAGGACCGCCGAAAAAAGCCTTCCGTTTTCATGCTCCCATTCCCATCTTCGAGGTCGGTCTTATCTCAAATAAATCTCCATAAAATCCAGGGGGAAAAAACTCGGAGCCCCAGCCCTCGGAGGAGTCGCGAGAGCAGCCGACAAAGTGTACACATCCGGGACATTGGACACGGTGGCCATGAAACAGAAATTTTATTCGCGCTCGGCGTTATGCGCCCGTTAAATCGAGCCCGGTCCGGGCTGAGACTGGTCCCAGGCCGAGCTCCGGCTCGGCTCGGACAGCTCTGTTCCCTCGGAGCATCAATAACCGCGTTACGAGCCCCATTCCCGTCGTTTCCGTCGCACGCGAGCCCCGCAAAGATCCGGGCTGCGGTTCAAGTGCGAGTTCTAATTAGCATCAAATTAGGCATTTAAGGATTTCGCGTTCGTGCGTGAGCTGGGACCGGGGTTGGTCTTGTTTCGGAGGGGGTGCTGCGGAGACAGGGGACGTCTCTCGGCCCTCGGCGTTGGGAGGAGAGGCGACTAGAAGAGCGGCGAGGAGAGCCGAGGAACGAAGAGATTCGAGGAAGAAGCGTAGAGGGCCAAGAAGAAGAAAGGGTTGGGAGAGAAGGTCGAGAGGCGGATGAAAAGGAACAAGAAGGTACCTACTTAGGGGTTATACCAACAGAGGGATCCCCTCATGTAAATTGTAGGCCCTGCAGTCGTATAAGTGCAGCTCGCTGCACGGCCGCGCGCCGTATATATTTTGTCGGCGCTCATATAAGTTAATTTTCAATCTATATGCGGGTTCTCGGATGGCGCGCGGCGCGACTCATCAACGAAATGAAGAAATTGAGACTCTCGTTAATATTTAATGAGCGCGGGGAGATACAATGGCCCGAGACCCGTACCCGGAGACCACGGAGTATCACCTGGACGAGCCTCGCGACCGTCGAATCGCCACGTCGGCCGGCCGAGTGTTTACAGGCGTGTTAGCTTGATCCCGGCGCGGGGGCGGATTCGGGGATGATGAGCTGTTACCGCGATTCCCGGTACGAGCTCCGCGAGAAGAAATTGGTTGCTCGAGCATCAAGGATGCATTGGAGAAGCTTTCGGGCTGACCGATTGGATTCGGAGTTAGGGGATGATCTTTGAACACCTTACGGCATCCTGCTCTTGACGCTTCGCGTTAGAACCTGCATCTGAATGAACCTCGATAGTTTTCATTTAAATAATAACCTTGGAATTCTAATAATTCGTTGGATCACGGATGAAAGTATCGTCGCAGTCGAGCTATCTTTTTGAGAAATTCTACATTGCTGATTATTTCAGCTTCAGAAATTTATCTTTGAGAATATTTAGGAGAAAAGCGTAACTGCATATGTTCCTACAACAATTAGGAAAGTTTACAGATCGTTAACATTTGATTAAAATCTAATATCTTAATAAATGTAGGTCTTGTTAAATTAGAAGTACATATTACAGCGAAGCAATATTGTTTTATTTGATGCGTACGACAAATAAAAGAGATAATAAAAATAGAGAATTAAAAATTAGAAACAAAAGAATTATAAGATTAACGTTTTTACTAACAGGATTCAAATTTTTACCGCACGCTAAGAAGGTTTGCACCGAAGCATACGCATCCGCGTAACATGTTTCTTAACGTTCGTCGGACACCGTCACGGTGACCAACTTGCAATTAGCCCTTTCAAGGGTCCTAAAATTCCCAGTAGCCAATTCATTACAGAATCGCTGGGCATCGCGATACTTGAATAACTTACGCGATCCCATTTACGTCGCCCGTAAAATACATTGCGGACGATAATGATAACAATTTGAACGTTTGGACGAAACAGGGCGCACGCGCGACGTGCACGGATCGTGGAAGGGCCGAAGACGGAAGTGTCCAGTGAAAAATTTGCATCGACGTTGAACGAGCGAGCCGGCAATTACGTCACGACGAATTAACCCGCCCCTGAATCGCATTTCTCAATTTCGTGGCCAATAAAAGCCACTCGGTAGTATACGAGCAGCACCTCGTCGAAGGATCCTCGGCCAGCTGCTGAGAAACGCGAGCTCCTGTCGGAGCCATTAATACAAACACCGAGCAACCACCGCGCCGTCACCCTCGAAAGGTGCCAATTTACACCTCTTTTGTCGGCCAACCTATTTACAACTAATTTGCGAGTTGCTTTGCCTTGCCGGTCGGCGTATGTGTAAACACGGTTAACGAGGAATAAGAGAACGAGAGCGAGAGAGAGAGAGAGAGAGCGAGAGAGAGCAAGAGAGAGAGAGAGAGAGAGAGAGAGAGAGGGTCGAGCACGTGCATCCGTGAATTCCGCATATTCTCCGTCTCCGAAAAGCGGTCGTCGGTTGCCTTTTACAGACAACGACAGCTGCTCTCGCCGCCAGAATCTGGTCCTCCCTTTCTCATTCGTCGATCGCGGATCGATTCGCGCGTTTTATCTCGCCGAGAAAGCATAAATTCGTTTTCGACCGTCTGCCGGCTCCTCCCTCCTTCCTCGTTCCCACCCCACGCCCGACGATTAACCCGATTCCGACGACAGCAAAACGCAACAATGTGTTTCCCCGCGGAATTACGAGCGCCGAACCGGGTCTTCGATCCGTCGATTAAACGTTTAAGGCTCGAATTATGCTAACGTCACTTTTTAACAGGCTATTCCTATTCGGGACGCTTCGGGGACGCGTATTTTCAAAGTAGCAGTGGTTTTTGCAATCACTGGGTCGTGAGCGCGTGTAGCGGGATCTCGGGAAAGCGTAGAATTCAAGCGATTCGCGGCGTTTCTTGTTCGTTTCANGATAACAATTTGAACGTTTGGACGAAACAGGGCGCACGCGCGACGTGCACGGATCGTGGAAGGGCCGAAGACGGAAGTGTCCAGTGAAAAATTTGCATCGACGTTGAACGAGCGAGCCGGCAATTACGTCACGACGAATTAACCCGCCCCTGAATCGCATTTCTCAATTTCGTGGCCAATAAAAGCCACTCGGTAGTATACGAGCAGCACCTCGTCGAAGGATCCTCGGCCAGCTGCTGAGAAACGCGAGCTCCTGTCGGAGCCATTAATACAAACACCGAGCAACCACCGCGCCGTCACCCTCGAAAGGTGCCAATTTACACCTCTTTTGTCGGCCAACCTATTTACAACTAATTTGCGAGTTGCTTTGCCTTGCCGGTCGGCGTATGTGTAAACACGGTTAACGAGGAATAAGAGAACGAGAGCGAGAGAGAGAGAGAGAGAGCGAGAGAGAGCAAGAGAGAGAGAGAGAGAGAGAGAGAGAGAGAGGGTCGAGCACGTGCATCCGTGAATTCCGCATATTCTCCGTCTCCGAAAAGCGGTCGTCGGTTGCCTTTTACAGACAACGACAGCTGCTCTCGCCGCCAGAATCTGGTCCTCCCTTTCTCATTCGTCGATCGCGGATCGATTCGCGCGTTTTATCTCGCCGAGAAAGCATAAATTCGTTTTCGACCGTCTGCCGGCTCCTCCCTCCTTCCTCGTTCCCACCCCACGCCCGACGATTAACCCGATTCCGACGACAGCAAAACGCAACAATGTGTTTCCCCGCGGAATTACGAGCGCCGAACCGGGTCTTCGATCCGTCGATTAAACGTTTAAGGCTCGAATTATGCTAACGTCACTTTTTAACAGGCTATTCCTATTCGGGACGCTTCGGGGACGCGTATTTTCAAAGTAGCAGTGGTTTTTGCAATCACTGGGTCGTGAGCGCGTGTAGCGGGATCTCGGGAAAGCGTAGAATTCAAGCGATTCGCGGCGTTTCTTGTTCGTTTCAGCCGATTCGAGCCCCGTGTGCGCGCGTGCGCCGCGTCGCAAGCTGATCCGGCCGTTTCGTAGCCGTTTCATTTTTAATTGAATTAACGCGAGCTTGATGCGGGATTGCTCGATCGATCTAAGATAACTGCATGGGGGACTAAACGGCACCTGCGTTTCGTTCGAAATACATTGACGGATCGCCTGGTCCCTTTGGACAGCTCCCATGCGGTTACACGTTGCTCGGAATAAGAGAAAATAACTCGCGCATTTTTTCATGAAAAAATGGCATCTGTCGCCAACAGAACCAACTCGTGGCTGGACTGCGGATTTTATAGAATTTACAGACACTGTTATATTCCTGTCAAATCGATATAATTATAAATAACAACAATGAACGCGTTTGCGTCTGCTGTATCTCGCAACGAATGCAGGCAATTTCTTTTTTGCATAGAAAATAGCAAATGCAGGTTTAATTTATTTTTTTTTTTAAAAGAAAAGTCAGTTCCCAAGCATTTTTCTCTCGGAATATTCTTCAGGTATTAAGGTCTTCTTAACGTGAAACTAGTTCTATTTTGCTTATCGCAACCAATTTTGTTGCGTTGCTCTTTCATATTTTCTTCCATTCTTCGTATTTTGCTTTTCTTCCAATTTCCCGCTGTTTGCTTCTAATTTATTTTTCTTCAACTCTTCTGCTGTCTCCTATTTTATCCCTTTTACTATTAACTTTATTTGCATCGCGTTTTCTTCTCCAT